ATGGTACGGCCACGTTCAGAGAATGCACAATAAAAGAATTCCAAAACAAGTAATTCATTGGATACCACCTGGTAAACGAAATAGAGGACGTCCCAAGAAAACATGGATGGAAGGAATAAGAAGGTCGATGAGCGAGAAAAATCTGACCGAAGATCAATGGGAAAATCGCGCAGGGTGGAAGTTAGGCATCGGACAACGTCGTATGACGTTCTGACCCGAATTTATATATAAATTATCATATAATATTAATTTGATTATTTTAGGTGTGTATGCCACTCCTTACAGTTAGCTTGTGTTTAACAGTGCAGCAGCAGCTGAGCACCTACCTAGAGATATTGAATTTTTAATTAGAGAAACCTCTGATTGGTTTGCTAGATCATCCTTAAGACAAGAAAAGTATAAATTATTGTACAAAACTATAAATGATGACCATGATAATATATAACTACTTATTCCTTCTCCTAAGTTTCGTTACATTGTGTGAAATGGATCTGAGGTTTGGAACTGATGGACGCCTCATATTATAATGTATGTTTATTATGATGCTATCTCTCCGTCCTAAAATATAAACTATCCCTCCTAAACTGGGACTGGGGTATTTTGTAACGCAATTTTATTTCATTCATGAAAAATTAAGATTTTTTTTCTCATAATTTATAATGTCGAAAAATTTTAAACATTAGTATAGTGTATTTCGTGATAAAACCACTTGCTAACAAGGGTAGTCTTTATGCAACCAATCCACGACCATATGATTTCTATTATCCCTTGTTTTTTCTAAGTTGAAAGGGCCTTAATATACCACTAAATTTGTAGCTTGAAAAAGACACGTTTTATTTGATGTTGAAAAGAAAAATCACGCAAAAAATTTAGTTGCAGCGTTATCGCCATGTTATTTAAACCTTTAAGTATAAGTACTTAGGGTAGGTACTTGAGTAAAAATTGTTATTGGTTGTGTAAAATTGTGCAAAATTCAAGCTCTCGATTGGCATATTAAAGGTTGCAATAGGTTTAGTGGGGGGGCTACCGACATTTTTTTCTAATCGCCTTTCGATTGGCGTAATAAAAGTTAAGGAAAATTTAGTCGGGGGGGGGGTACAGTGTTGAAGAGGTCAGTGATTCCATCTTGAGAGAAGTCCTTTGTTGGATCTATGTCAACTGAGGGGTCAGCGAAAAAGAAATATTTTACGGGGGGATGTGGAGTGGATACAGGATATTCGGGAATATCCGAGCTTTCAGTGACCGTTAATATGACGGTTTGATTTTCTTCTTTTTGGGGGCCATGATTGGTGAATGCTAGGCCACACCTCTTGAACTAAGGCTGTGGTGGACGGGGCAGAAGAATCGAGCAAGTTTTTGTGGTTAGGGTGCACTACCGGCGCGAAAAACCGAGCGCGAATACTAACGGAGCTACAATGTACACAGTACGACGCACGATACTCAACTGACTGATGATTTATTGTGATGTGGCGTTTTGCTTAAATACGCACGATGACGTGTTACCATACAATGGTAATGTTGCCATACTTAACATCTCCCCTTTTCTAAAAACATTTCGCAATTAAGGGGAACATAATAATACAAAATAAATACATAATACTAATTTAAATTAATATCACAGACAATAAATGATGAGGCAGCAGTGTTAGTTTGTTACAGATAGGTAAACATTTCGTTTGTATGAGTTTGTACACGATAAATGACTATGGTCAGCCAAACAAATATTATTGAACGAGTTAACTTTATGCAAAGCGTTTTGAATCAATAGCTAAGCACAGTCATCTAGCGTTAATAATTTGTAGTATTAACAAAAGAACCTAAGCAAAAAAGGAACATACATGTTGCATTGTTGCAACAATTTCAGACTATACGTTGAATACAATATTATTATAATGACTAAGTCGACATAAACTAAACATCAGTTTTTCAAAAATATACAGTGTGTATTATAGTAAATTCATAAAGTTGTTAACCAGAAGCAGATATACTTAAACTAAGTCAGTCAATATCAACATGATAGTATCTAAATTTTACAGGTCGCTTTATCATTCTACCAGATGTACTGGTACGAGTGTCATTCAAAACATTATGTACAATATCCCTATCTATATCCCTATCCTGTTCGTCAGAAATAATAGTCAAGTTAGATGGTGAAGTTGTTGAACTAAAATAAGCTTGACCACTATTATTTGAGTGATCTAAATTTTCTTGAGAATTTTCAGACTCTTCAGATACATAACTATCACTACTGCTGTTTTCAACACTTACATTTTTTTCTTTAAAATCGGACCCAAAACTGACACAGTCATCTAGGTTGCTGCTAGATGCCTCTCTATTGCTCTCCATAAATTGTTGTTCAGCCCTTTCCTCTTCAAAGAAATTATCACTAGTACCACAGACTGGTATATAACTTAATTGTTGAAAGTTTTCACGAGATGCAAAATTACTTAATTTATCTGAATCAGAAACGGCTGGTTTACCCCTTAGCTGATGCTTTATTTCTCCAATAAACCTTCTATTTCTTCTTAAAATTTTACCAATTTAAGTTAATGCCAACTTTTTTAATGACCTTCGCTAAAGTCCATTTAGATTTAAGTTAACTTGAATGAGAACTGAACAGTTTTTTGGTAAATTTCTTATATTGCTGTACTTTTTTGTCAAAATTTTGTTTTTGTTGCTTTTGACTATTTTTTATAAAGTTATCAAAATTATTTTTATTGAACGGTTTGTTATTGTTTATTGGTACAGGGAGAGTTGATCTTAAGTTTCTATTTAATAAAGCATTAGCCGGTGAGTTGGACTTGTCTAATGGCATGTTTCTTAATTCTAGTAAAGCCAAATAAGGGATCTTTTTTGTCAGATACACATTTTTTAAGAACATTTTTCACAGTCTGTCCCATTACACTTGACCATTCGATTGAGAATAAAGAGGCGAGGATGTTTTATGAACAAAGTCCCACGCTTTTGAAAAGCTTTTAAAAGCCAAACTAGAAAATTCGGGCCCATTATCACTCATTAAAATATTAGGAATTCTAAATCAAACAAACACACCCTTAAGTTTATGAATAACATTGTTGCTTATTAAATCTTTCCCTAAATTTATTACTTCCACAAACTTAATCAAGAAAAGAATAATAATCTGCTATAAGAAGGTAAGACTGATTATAAAGATGAAAAATGTCTGCACCAAGCTTACACCTTGGTCGCAACATTATGTCATGAGAAATCATAAGTTCGGAGGGCTGAGACTTTTGGACAGTCTGACAAACATGACACGAGAGCACAAAATCCTCTATTTGCTTTCTCGAAGCACTTTTTGGCTGAAAGATGACTATAATGTAATTTATCCAAAATCTCATTTCGCAATAATTTAGGTACAATTAAGTTTTGACCTTTAAACAAAAGATCTTCAATTTCTGAAATTTCGCCTCTGACTTTAAAATATAATTTATTTTTTTCCGGACAATCCCTTATTTTACTAGAGCTCTGCTTAGAAGGGCCTGCCACATGGCATTCAACACTGCCTATAAAATGATAATCATCTTGAACTTCAACACTATCTATGCTAGAATCATTATGATCATGGTTGTTATCTAAAAAATGAACCTGATTTTTGTTACTTTTACATTTAGGATTTTTATGAGTTTTATTAAAAGAGTTTGACTTATTAGTTTTACAACAGAAAGAAAAATGATTTAAAATACCACAGTTTAGAGATTTTTACCAAACGCAGGACAACTTCCGAATCCATGCTGCCTTGGACACTTCTGGCAAGGTCGCTACGACTTCCCAGGATGTAATGATGACTGGAAAGGTTTCGGTGGTTGAAATCTAGACGAGTTGGTCGACTGCTGCCTGGTGAACCTGGAGGCGATGGCGTTTACCTCCGATTTTTCAAGGTTGAACCCATTGGTTATTTGCCTGCTTTGCTGCTTGGTACTATCCAGATTTACACATATCTGGACTGCTTTTTCCAGAGCTGAAACGTCTTCTTGAAGTAGCTTCTCTCGTAGGGAGGTGGAACGTAGCCCACAAACTAACATGTCCTTGATAAGGGATTCCCTAAAGGTACCAAACTCGCATGATAGTGAAAGATTTTTAAGTTCAGTGATAAACTAATCAGTTGTTTGACCCTCTACCTGACGGTAGGTAAAAAAATTATGTCTTTCATAGGTCAGAATTTTCTTTGGACTAAAGTGCTTTTCAAATCTTTCTTGGAGCAATGTCAGGGTTTCATTCTCCGTCTCAGGAAATGTATTATAAATCCTAATGCCTTCATCTCCTATTTGGGTCAGTAACTGGACACATTTGGTGGTTTCGTCTTTTTTTATCAACTCGGTGGTCACGAGGTAGTTATTGAACCGTTGTTTTCAAAATTTCCAGCTTTCAGCTAGATTTCCATTCTTAACCATCGGGGGTATTCCTCTATCCTATAGTCATTTTCCCGTTCTTAAAGCGTTTCAATTAAGAAGAGAATGACTTTTTAATTAATAAAATTTAATTTCCACGAGGTACGACTTTTTACAAAATGGCCGATTTCATGCGTTTTGCGTGGAGTGATGAGCGGTTTATACGTACTGCGCCATGTTAGGTTTTGACTTGGTCTGGCACTGATGATATCTACACACCCACCCTATGGTGTTATGAGCAATTATCGTTTCTCAATACAAGCAATCCTGTTCAGTGTTATTATGTTAGTGTAATTTTAGTGCAAAGCAATAAGAGGCTATCTTGATTGTCATTTGCCTGGAGTTACATTATTTTTGTATTTGTTGATTAGAGTTTAAATAAAACAATGTTTTTTTACAAACAACAGTGTATGTAATAAAGGTTAATTTAAGTATTATTAAGTTTTAAGTGCTACTTAATTGGCTCTAAACTGAACATTTTTATAAATAATATAAACAAAATAGAAATAAAACATTTTAAACTTTATGATATTGCCAAGGTACAGCACCTTCATTCACAAAGTAATTTTTAAATTCTCTTTAGCTCTGCTTTCAGTCTTTAGCTCTGTTACCGCTTTGTTGAGATAAACCATATTTAAAAACATAAGAATCATCAATCTCTCCATCGTCATTTACCATGTATAGGTTTTCGGCACTCAAAGAACTGTGAAGAACACGCGCTGCCAAAGTTATAATTTGAACTTTTTGAGCACTTAAATTTATGGTTGTTAAAGATATTCTAAAACGGTTGGCCAAAATTCCGAAAGCATTTTCCACTACTCGCCTACCACGACTCAGTCTGTAATTATATATCTTCTGTTCATTAGTCAAATTTCTGAATGGATAGGGCTTCATAATGTGTTCACCAAGGGGAAAAGCTGCATCAGCCAAAATAACATGTGGAACTAATTTATTTCTTCCAGGTAGACATCTATCCTCCGGAATATTTAAATAGTTTTGTGCTATAGCTTTTGCTAATGTCGACTGACAATATACTCCACCATCGGAAACTCTCCCATTAACTCCCCACCTATATCGGGATCAACCAATGCAAGTAGCACAATGCTATGACTATGTTTATAATTATAATACATTGAACCATCAATTTTTGGAGCTCTAAAAACAATGTGCTTGCCATCCATGGCACCAATAACGTTAGGGATGTTGCATGTGCTTTCGAAGTCTTTTGCTATATTTAGCCAGTCGGCAGCTGTGGTTGGTGTCTGAAAAAGAAGATTTCCATAAGTTTTACATTATTTAGTGGAATTCAACTTTTACCCTTAAGAATTCATCTTTTACTATATAGTATATTGCAGTACAAACTTCAGGTACAAACAAGGAAATAGTGGATTCTGATATTCTGAATGTGCACATTAAACTTCGGTAAGTTTCACCATTTGCAAGGAATATCAAAATTACTATTAATTTGTCTCTCGCAGTGATTGCATCTCTAAAATTAGCATTTGTTTCTCCAATTGTGGTGCCAGGGACTTAAGTAATTTATTAATTCATTAAACTTTTCCTCTCATATGCGTAAAAACTGTTTAAATTGCTCTGGATTTTCTCGAAACTCCGTGTTCACCAATTTTAAACCAGCACTTTGTCTTCCAACCATGGTCTGACCCACCATCTTCTTTGTCTTTTTTCAGGTTGTTCAATAAAAAAACTACTGGCTGCAATAATTAACGCAATTGCTGCAGCTCGTTTTTTGCTTTTAGAAACTTTTAAGTTTTTAAACATCGTCACTCATATCAAGCTATCACTATTCAATAATAATAAACATAAACAAATATGACACACAAACACAACCTAACAATGTTATGTTGGTAGACCTGTTCATTGACATTTGTCGTTGTGAAAATTGAAGTAGGGAAGTCCCGGTGTAAAGCGAAGTTAAGCCAACAATAAATTGGCAAACAAATTTGCAAACAAATTGATCAATTTAAATTGTCAGTGTAAAACTGGCATAAGGTAAGTTCATATAGCAACGAATCACGAATTGTTGGTTTTGCAAAGTCGTAAAAATTGACCCTTTCATACGAAAACGAAATTCGTTGGCGTTTCTAGGGCGTTTCTTCCAATTTTTCACTAGGCAGCGTTGCCTTGCGTTTCAGGTTAGGAAAGGAGAAGGGTTTATATTTTTCTGCTTTGTTGTGTTTTTCTTGTATTTTTTGCAAAAAAAAATAAAATTAAATTTTTAACACGAACGAGAACGTATTTTATTGGCGATATAGACGCATACGTCTAATAGCAGTTTACTTGTTGCTTAAGAAGATGCGGCAAAAAATAATAGATCTGTTAGTGTCTGCGAAATATTTAAGCAACGACGGTCGCAAGAAGCATTTCATAATTTGGTGCAAGAAATGAGGGTAAATGACGAGAAGAAATTTAGGAACTACCATAGAATGTCCGTCCAAGAATTCGATTTCCTTGTGGAAAAGATTTCTCCGTATACAACAAAAACTTACCATACCCTAGAGCCAATTTCACCACTAGAGATGTTATCTGTTACACTTAGGTTATACTACTTTTACCACTAACCCTAAATATTATTTGTTGGTACAGTACCACCACATCTATTTTATTTTTAGATATTTGGCTGCTTTTTAGATTGGGATTAAGCATAATATCAAATATAGTGGTCAAAAGTACATGTTCAGCTCTTTGGATATCTTTAAACAAAGAATATTCAAATTTACCACTTCCCGAAGGAAAAATGGCTCAGGATCGCAACAGATTTTGAGTTGAAGTGGAATTTTTCTGGAAACTGCCTGTGGGCAATTGATGGGAAACATGTTAGAATACAAGTAACTATAGTTTTTTTTTTGTATTTTGTTGCCCATGTAGTTGTTTTAGAGTTTTTTTTGTGTTATTGTATTTTTTTGAATTATTTTTTTTAATGTAAATATATAATAAAATTTAAAAAGTTGTTTTTTATACAATGTTAGGGGTCTAACTATTCTGTTTTGTCATTACCATATAATTTTCCATGACCCTTATAAAATAATAATAGCATGTTTTAACAAGATATAAAAATAAATCGGTTAAAACCAAAATTTTTTTGGCAATAAGGTGTTTTTGTTAGACCACCAAAGAATTAATAGACCAAATTATGTATATTTTAAAGGTTTTCAAAAAAACAAAATATTTTTCAACTTGTAGATATCTATATTTCTATATATAGGTAAAAATCTAACTTAAATTTAACTGAATTTGTGAAACAAAACATAAAAAATATAAGAAAAAAGTAATAACATCTAGATTTTTTAAGGCACACCTCCTTTATTAACGTAATTGTCTTGCCAAGAAATGTGTCCTCTCCTTCTTTTGAGATAAAAAAACTGCTAACTTATCTCGATTAACCTTCGCAGAGAAGGTATAATTATTAGACCCTAGTCTAGGAGGCAGATTTTAAACTTGGGCCTTCTCTTCGCCAATTCCCTTCCTTCAATATTCCATTGTTGTCAAAAGTATCCACATAACCAGTTCGACAATATTTTCGTTCTTCTGGCCTCAAATCCATCTCGCTGTTTTGCAGATAACTACGCAAGACGATAGTCGCTTGAACATTAAGTTCAGCAACCTCCAGGCTTGTATTTATTGGTCGACGAAGAATCCTCCACCGTTGGCTTAAAATACCAAATGCATTCTCAATACATCTACGGCCTCGATTTACTCTGTAATTAAAAATGTTTTTTTTTCTCCCCAAGCAAGGAAAGTTCCAGGGTAACGCCTAATAATATTTTCATGCAGAGGAAAGGCAGCATCTGCTACTAAAAATGTGGCAATTTTACGTCAGTTTTCTGTAAAAATTTTGGCGGAGGTATTTCTAAGTGACTGTTAAATAAAGCAGCGTCAAAACTACTGGCTTTAAAAATAGCAGAGTCATGATTGCATCCTTCTGCACCGATATCAACCATGGTAAATCTATAGAATGCATCGCAACATGCCATGAGGACGATACTAAAGTTTTTCTTGTAATTGAAGAATACACTGCCAGATTTCTTTGGGGCCGTTATAGTAATATGTTTACCATCAACAGCTCCAAAGCAATTTGGTAGGTTCCATCTATTAAAAAATGACAGTTCTATGTCCTCAAACCTTTTTTTTTGTGGGATTGGGTAGTTCTAAAGGCTGTAATTTTTCCCACAATACACCACAAGTTTCTTTAATAATTATATGGACAGTGGCCTTTCCAAGTCTATAGCCCCAAGCAATCTCCTGCATGGAGCATCCTTCAGCCAAATAGCTACAAACAAAAAGTGATTAGAGAGACCTAAATAATATAAAATTTTACATACTGCAAAGTTATTATCAATCTCTGAGCAGGACTATCTAATATGCTGCTTATTTTTATCCTTTTGAATGTGATCGGCTACCAACGTTAATAAAAATTTAAATTGAGTTTGCATCATTCGGGAATATTTAAAAAAATTCTCATCATATCTTGGAAAAGGGTTGAAAACAATCCTTCGCTTTCCCTTTTTCTGTTAATTGGTCGCTTTTCCATCGCCTTTGTCTTCCACATTTTTTTGCATTTTATTCGCAGCTACAGCCACAAGTGATACAAAATTTAAGAACAGATAGGTGGCACCTATTATTTTAACACACTTTTTACGACTATTTTTCATTTTCATTTTTCATGTCTTCTAGATAGATAGATAGATATTCATTTATTTGTTCCGATTAACAAAAGTTACAAGAGCCCGCAGGCATGGAACATTGTAAAAATAGCAAAAAAACAAAACTTAAGACTTAATATAAAACACACATAAATACACTTAAATAAGGAAAAAACTAGAATAACCCTCGACAACAAAAAAATGTATGTTTCGAAAATCATTTAATTTCACATATTCAAGACTATTATTTAAACTGAACAATGATTTTCGAAACATACATTTTTTTGTTGTCGAGGGTTATTCTAGTTTTTTCCTTATTTAAGTGTATTTATGTGTGTTTTATATTAAGTCTTAAGTTTTGTTTTTTTGCTATTTTTACAATGTTCCATGCCTGTACATATATATATATATATATATATATATATATATATATATATATATATATATATATATATATATATATATATATATATATATATATATATATATATATATATATATATATATATATATATATATATATATATATATATATATATATATATATATATATATATATATATATATATATATAGTATATACTATACTACAGTAGTAAGCAACTAACTCAAAAGTCCACACTACATTACAATTACTATAAACAATAAACATGCTCACTAAAAAGTGAGATATGCGAATCGGAAAAAAAATCGGCTATAGTTACGGCAACTATAGTATGCCTTTTTGATTAAATAATCTTTTAGTACAGTTCTCATCTTTCCATGAGACATGGCCTGCAACTCTTCGGGGAAACTATTAAATATTTTTATAATCGAATACTCAGCATTCTTTTGTATATAAGTAAAATTGAATTTCCCAGGTATAAGATTATATCTATTTCTGGTATCATACCTGGGATCACTAACAAAGCCTGCAAAGAGATCTCTATTACCGACCACAAACATATAGGCATCGTAAACATACATTCCTGTCAGCGTCAATATACCCTTCTCTACAAAAACACTCCTGCAACTTTCTAAACGGCTCATCCTAAATATATTACGAATACATCTTTTTTGTAGCAGAAAGATTCTACCTATATCAGTACAATTTCCCCAAATTACCAAGCATTTTAGATTGCACAAAAGCATAATAAGCTGTCAATGCTGCTTGTTCGCCCACATTCTCCGAGACAATCCTCAAGGCAAAGCCGTGTCTTGATACCCCCTTTGCAACACCATCAACGTGCGCTTTCCAATCCAATCTGTGACAACACCAAGCAGAGATACGTTCTTAGTTGTAATAATTTCATCATTTTTATATTGAAGTCTAAACGCATTATCTGCTCTGTTACCAAAACCTACACACTGCGTTTTAGATGTATTCATAGATAAACCCATTGACGAAAAATATTCTACCAATATATCACATGTTCTTTTAATTTAACTCTCATTAATTCTGCATTCACTGCATCAAAGATCAGCGTAGTGTCATCGGCATAGAGAGTTGTATGTTCTCTCGTTATATTTGGTAGATCGTTCGTATAAATTATATACAATAATGGCCCCAAGATTGAACCCTGAGGGACACCTTTTATTACTTTGGTTTTATTCGACACTGTAACTCTACCCTGACTGTAATATTCAAAAACCTGCTGGGTTCTAGTAACTAAATAAGATTTTATTAGCTCCAACGCCATACCCCGGATGCCATACCTATCCAGAACCCGGCATAGTATTTTATGGTTTACACAATCGAACGCCTTTGATAGATCAATACACATTGCTACAGTTAGCTTTTTTTCATTCAATGAATTTAGTACTTTTGTTATTGCTTGATAAATCGCTCTTACTGACGATTTCCCTTTTCTAAAACCGTTTTGACTATCCGAGAAAATGACGTGGCTTTCTAAGAAATCTGATATTCGACTGTAAATTATTCTTTCAAAAATCTTCCCGATGTTTGGAAGTAGAGATATAGGTCGATAATTATGTTCATCATCGATCTGTCCTTTCTTGAACACAGCTTTAATTAATGAATTCTTTAACTGATCAGGATAAATACCCGTAGAGAAACACAAGTTTGTTATATACGCTATAGGATCCGATATACAATGAGCAATACTCTTAAGGATATGCACAGGTAAGTTGTCATCACCGACAGATTTTGTATTATTTAGTTGATTAATTTTATCTTAAAGATTTCTGGGGAGTTTGTTGGCATTAGAAAAATCGAATCAACTATCATAGCTGGTATTAAAACATGATTTGTCATATTCTGTATATTTGGAGATACATTGACAAAAAAATCATTTAAACTATTTACAATTTTGACAGGACTATCATTAGTTAAAATTTACGAACTTCAAGGTTATTAAGTTATGCTTATGATTACGACTGCGACATGTAAACGCTCGTATCTAAAATAATGGTTTTAACTTTTATGATTGTGACTAAAATTGTGATTATGATTACGACTATGTTGTATAAACCCGCCATAAGTTCTGCAACAGTTAAATTAAGACATTAATTATGTGTCGCAATTAGCTAACTGATAAAATCGTTAAAAGGCACAGTCGTGGCCAAAAAAAGTTTCCGGGATTTGTACATACATACTTCAAATGTTTTAAGAAAGTGTCTCGTAAGTTCGTCCATTTTCTAATTAGATTTTCTAGAGTTATTTTCCTCCTAATTCATTATAAACCTCCTTCCATAATTTTTCTCTTATATCTTTGCCTCTTTGCTTCAGAGGCAGGGTATGAGCCCACAATGCTGGCCTCGCTTGGACGGCCCCCGCTAAATTTCCAACAAAGTTTTTGTCAGTTACTGATTCTGTTTGGGATTCATTTTCAATCTGTATGGATTGCGACGACAGACACTCCTGAGTTTCCGCACAAGTGTGTCTTTCAAATTCTTCCAAAGTTAGTGTTTCCCCACACTCAACTTGGTACTAAAAATTTTGCTAATATGAAAATAAACAATTTACTTAAAAAAGTCGGCAAAAAAATTACCTATCCTATAAGTACCTAATGTAATATTAATAAATGAATATTATAATACTATTAATTACTTACAACAAATTCAGACATCACAAATAATAATCAACATTAACCTAACTAATTAATAATATTAATCTGCAAACTATCAAATTAAAGCCAAATTCGTCACAAATATCGGAAAATCTTGAAATGAATTCAAGTTTCCAGCAACCTAGATTGTCAATTTCACGAATTCTTAAAAACTTAACTAAGACACCTGCCAACTTTCTCCCCAATAAATCTGACCAATGACGTTAAAGTTCGTGATTCGTTGCTATATGAACCTAGCAGCTTTACACTTTTCAGTTTTGTCCTCGTTCTACCGTTCTTTCAATCAACGGTACTACATAAACGGAACACTAATAGAGTAAGGACCGTCTGACACGGGACAATATTCTAGCCTAAATTGTATGTATAAAATTTGTTGCGCGCGCATTTTTAGTCAAATTGATTTTGTAAGGTTATGTTTATGTTACATTTGTTTGTTAAGTTAATTGTTTATGTTTGCTCTATGTTCGATTGTGAGGCTTTTACTGACTGTAATTTGTGCTTCAAATTAAAACATACCGTGGTCTCAGCAGCATGTAAAAATGCTTCTAGAGCTCTATAGGGAACACCCTTGTTTATATGCAGTAAAAAGTATCGAATACAAATATAAACATGCCAGAAATAGTGCACTCGAACAAATTCATTCAGAATTGAAGCTGATTCGACCATGTGTATCTCTAACAGACATCAAATCCAAATTTAACAATATTCGTACTAACTTTCTATCTGAACACAGAAAATATGTGAATTCATTAAAGAGCGGAATTGGAACTGATGAGATAAGTTAATACTATAATAATAGTAATAATAATAATAATAAATGGGGCACTGTAGGTACACTTTTACCTAATATTCACGTTCTTTTTGATCATGATCACAGATGTACAAACCAAACATATGGTATTACGAGCATATGTACTTTATTCTTGAACACAGTATTCCACACCAATCTATAAATAGCATTATGTCACCGCAAACATCTCCCAACATAACTGAGTCTTGTGAGAACTCTTGTAAAGATTTACTATTATACTCTCAATCTGAATGTCGATAATACTGAAATTGGTCACTAAATGAAGAGGTACTGTTATTTAATAATTTACATTATTTTTTATACATTTAATACTAAATATTGTGCTCACATAGGAATTGCAATTTATCACTGAGGCAACAGATTTTTAACAGACGCAGTCTACTCAAAAAATTAATATTATTAAAGTTAAAAACGTTCCCTCCAGTAGTTGATTATCAGCGTATACAGAAGCGCAGCAGCTATTCCAAAGGTAGCCCGGTTAAAAGTCTAACCCCAAATGTAGTTGCGAACATTAATCAAAAAAGGAAAAGAAGTGACATTAATGAAGATGAGGCCATGAAAAATGCCAATAAAGTCTTGAAGGAAATAAGTACAGCTATTACCTCACCTCTAACTACCACCCAACAGGAAAAATCTAAAATCCGCTCAGAGAGTGAAATTTTTGGTGAATATGTTACTAAGCAATTAACAGCAATAGAGGAGGACGAAGAACTCTTTTTAGATACTGCTCATATTATTAACAATGTGCTATAACATGATGCTAGGAAAAAATATTACAAAAAATTCACAGTCCTTTACAAAGATGCAACCGGGGGGGCATTGAAAATGATGAATAAAAACGTAAAAATATGATTAGTGTTAATATGAGTGTATTACATACATATGTTTAAATAACGAACTTAACAAAAAACAACAGATTTAAAGATTCACTGAAAAAGTAGTAATGTTAACATTAATATATATATATATATATATATATATATATATATATATATATATATATATATATATATATATATATATATATATATATATATATATATATGAATTGGTATTTAGTTAATCTGTGATTCCATCTGAGTTAGATCTGTGGTAGACCGTAAGATACGTCGTTCGTTCGTTCGTCACGAGTGGATCGAAAAACTTTAAGTTTTATGTTAGACCATTTTAGTTTATGTATTTTGGGAAAAAATAGAAACAAAGAAGTATTAGTATCGTTTTATTAGCAAAATTTATGATTGGCGGCCGGCCCCTTCAGTTTTTCAGAACTGGGATTCAAAAAATCACGACTTAGAACTTAGATGAATGTGGATTTAATTGGTAGGCACAAGTTAGGTAAAGGTAGCCATTTTGAGAAGAAAAATAAAATTGATTATGAACCAAAACCAGGCATTTAGTTTAGACGAATTTAGAGACGGATTTGAAAGTTTTATGGATAAACAAATGGAGAATAATTAGAGAGATGAGCCAGAACAAAATAACGAGGTAGATTTTAATAAATTTATCGACACTAAATGGGTTGATGCAGCAAAATGCCCAGCTTTTAAACTTGTTAACTTTGACTAAACCTGAATCAGTCCAAACGTTCAATATTACTCCAGAGTTAGTAAAAACTATAGAATATTTTGAAGGTGATAAAGATTTAAGCAAAGCACAGTCATGGTTAGAGAAACTGAACAGAATGGCTAGCTTGCATTCCTGGCCAGATACATTTCTTTTTCAAACAGCCCAAAATTATTTACGAGGAGCTGCACAATTGTGGTTAAATGGAAGGAAAGACATTAGAGACTGGCATAGTTTTCAAAAAGCCTTTCAAAATACCTTTATATTTGAGGAAAATTATTCAGAGTTGTAAATGAAAATGCAGAGACGTAAACAAATACCAAATGAAAGCTTAGGGGGTTATTATTATGAGAAATTGTCCTTATGTAAGAAGCTACTTTTATCATTTATGCCCGATTCTACAATGCAAGTATAAAAGCCAGTATAATTATTCTACTGATAACCTATACCCCGATTTATTCCAAGTATAACTGGTTGTCGGTTTTACAATCGTTTTTTATAATCGGTATAGTTATTCCAAGTATATCTCCTTGGTAGTTCCAATGAACTAGCATTTTGACATTTGACATTTTGAAAGGCGGATATTATCTGTGGTATTATACACTATAACCTGACTTTCAGCTCTGTTTTCAGTAACGTTTTAGTGGTTTTCATGGGTAGTTCTTTATCTTTAGCGGTCAGAGTAGCGGTTTCATTTCATTTTTGTTTCTTGAGTGTGTGGTTTGCGAGCGAAAGCTAATATAAGTATGGAGAAAAAACGGTGTAATAATTTTACAGCCGACGAGACTGAAGTTTTACTGAGCTTAGTGGAGGAATCTCAGCTTATTGTAGGCAAGTGCAGCATATTGATTTCTTTATAAAGGACATCCGGTATACCGGACATCCTTTGGAATTGTATTTTCATATTACTTATTTTATAGAATGCAAGAAGACAGATACGATTAACAACAGCAGAAAAGAGCTAGAATGGAAGAAGATTGAGACTAAATTTAATTCGATGTGTGCAACAGCACGAACTTCTAAAATGCTACGTAGCAAGTGGGATTCTCTAAAAAAAACCACCAAAAAGGAATATGGAGAGTACAAACAAAGTTTATATAAGACAGGTGGTGGACCAGGAAGTTCTGACTTTAAAATGTCAGGCTATATGAAACGTATTTTGGCTGTAGTTCGGATTGGGATGTCTGGCACTTGTTCTAAGTTTGATTGCGATTTTGGTAATATTAGTTACTTCCATAACTAAAAAACTTGTTATAATGACATTTATATTTTTTAATTCTAGATTTACCTAACAGTAGTAATAAGCTACTCACTGAAGACTCTAGCAGCATTTCCTCTCAGGTCCCTATTGTACCTACTGAAGTAATAAGTAATGAAGATATAGCAGCAGAGGAAATAACTATAGATAAAGACAGTTCTGATGCAGCTGAAATTGTAAGTAATTGAATTTAAAATGTTCTTTTAAGTGCATAAATAATTTTAGATAAGCTTGAGCAGTTGGCAGACGTGGAATCCACAGCAGTTGAGGCAGCCGAAAAGTATCGAGTTGACAGTTCCTGGTAAGAATTTTCATAACTGATTGTTAAGGGTTTACTAAATGAATATTATTCTCCTTACAGAACCAAATAATACTGATTTAGAAGACACGAATGAACAGGTGACAAAAACTATTGGAGTAACCCCATGCTGTACGATAATATACTTGTATGTCATTAAATTAGTTTTATGTACTAATAATATTTTTTAGGCTCTAATGATGTCAAAAAAAGGAGGAGGGTTAGTAAAGTGGAATCCATTGGTTCCAAATTAAAAAATAAAAGGGCAGTTCATTTTGAAACACTTCAAGAGGAATTACTGAAGAAAAAAATTGCCCTTGTAGAGTTACAAACTCAGGTTCTGCAAGAAGAGAGGGAGCAGAAAAAAGGCCTGATTGAGGCACAGATCAAAATATTAAGGGAGGAAGCAGAACAAAAAAAATAAATATTGCTGAAAAGCACAAGTTAGAAATAGATATATTGTTAGCTGAATTAAAAAATAAAAACTAACTTCTATTTAAGTAAAAGAATTGTTTCGTATATTTATTTATTCTATATAGCCTATATATTCTATTCATATAGCCTATCACGGAAGAATATAAAAAAAAATAATATTCTTCCGCAAATGTTTCTATAATAGGTATCAAAATTAAAGTATACTTTTTAAAATTTAAATATGTTACAAAGCCAGAAGAAACTTCAAATTCATTGTAGGGCCTATTCTGAAAATTAGTAAATTAATACAGTATGTCCCTGGATTGTCTTTACAAAAGGAAAGCCTTTTTTATTATTGGCATTTTAAGAAAAATGCATTCTTCATAAAAATTTTGCTTGTTCTAAAATGGTTAATCCTGTTTATACTTTTCCAATTTTTGGTAATATTGAAATATTACCTCAGTGTCCCCGAAAAAGAAGAAACGAAGTACATTAGGAAGAACCAGTTAGACGTGAAGGTCGTGATAATAGAAGAAGAGGACAGAGCGAGGAAGTATCAAATCAGGGGAACTCAAGACATATTGAGCATTCTTTGTTAGTTCAGGACAATAATGTGACACCACCATATTTCGTACCTATCGTTTTAACTAAAGATTTACATAGTATTGGCCTTAATGCCATTTTAGATACGGGTAGTTCAGTATCACTAGTTAAGTAGAATGTTGTAGTAGATATAGGTTATATTAGTGAATTTAATTTAATGAATTATGAAGGTATTAACAAAAGCAAGGTATCTGTATTAGGTAAAATTGAATTTAATGTACATTTAGCAAACCTAGATTTAAATATGACTTTTCTAGTTGTACCTATAATAACACTATTTAACCTATGATTGTTTACTAGGAAAGGATGTTATACGGAATGGCAGATTTAAATTTATTTTTTCTAATTTAGGCATTGAGAATAATTTAGAGAATAAGCAAAGTGAGAAATTAATAACTGATGAAATATTTATGATCGATACTACTGATGATTTTGCTAATTTTGACTTAGATATTAATAGAAACTTAGAATTTTAAGTTAAAAATGATTTTCAGGAGAGATTTTTGAGAAATTATGTTAATGCAATAAGACCAGAAAGACCGGCAGTAGATTATGAAATGAAAATTAATGTAAAACCACATAATTCACCTTTCTTTTATAGGCCTCGACGACTATCATACTATAAAAAAGAACAGGTAAATATAATGATTGATGAGTTATTACAAAAAGGCATTATACAGAGAAGTACTTCAGAATATAGTTCTCCTATAGTTTTAGTAGCAAAAAACCAACGGGTTTAAGACTTTGTGTGGATTATCGTCGTTTAAATGGCATTACTGTTCGAGATAATTTTCCTTTGCCCTTTATTGATGACCAGCTCATTTAAGAAATAAGAAATATTTTACTCGTCTTGATCTTAAAGATGCGTTTCACCATATGTCAAGATTCAATTAAGTACACCTCTTTTGTTACACATTTAAGCCAATATGAATATCTTAAAGCACCTTTCGGATTAAAAAATAGTCCAGCCAGTTTTAGTCAGTATATTAACCATATTTGTAAAGATCTTATTGAGCAAGATAAAATTAGTATTTATATTGACGATATATTAATCGCGACAGATACCATCAAAGAAAATGTATTAATTTTAGATGAAGTATTTCACCTTCTAGTCATAAATAAGTTAGAGTTAAAATTAAATAAATGTTCATTTTTCATTTCAAGACAGAAATACAGTTTTTAGGTTATAGAATTAATAAAAATGGTATTACTCCGTGTAATGAGAACATAAAGGCAGTTAGTAATTTTCCCATTCCTAGAAATTTCAAGGACGTTCCAAGCTTTCTTGGACTAACATCTTATTTTAGACGATTTATTAAAGACTTTGCTCTTATAGCTAAACCGCTTTATGGCTTTTTAAAAAAGAACGTAGAATTTAATTTCGGGAATACAGAATTACGCTCATTTGAATCTTTAAAATCTTTGTTAATTGAAAAACCAATTTTATCTATTTATGATCCTCATGCTGAAAATCAATTACATTGTGATGCATCTTCTCACGGTTACGTTAGTAACTAAGGTAGTGTACTAATGCAAAAACAATCTGACGGAAAGTTTCATCCTGTTTTTTATTTTTCGAAGAGAACAACACCTACAGAAAGTAAATCTCATAGTTTTGAACTTGATCTAATGGCTATAGTTTATTCTTTAAAACGTTTTCGAATCTATTTGCAAGGTATCGAATTTAAAATCATTACCGATTTTAATAGTTTAAAGTTAGCGATACAGAAAAAAGAAATTAACCCTAGAATTTTAAGATGGAGTCTAGAATTACAAAATTATTCTTATCATTTGGAACACCGATGAAGTCAGTGAGTGCAACATGTTTAAGTAGACATTCGGTTTTAATTATTATTTATTTATTTACGTATCGTATATAGGAAATTTCAAAATAGAGTATTATTTTATGTACCAAAATCTATGGAAAAAGTTATTATTCAAACGTATCATGATCACTTAGGTCATGTAGGTGAAAATAAAACTCGAGTATTGATTCTAAGAACATATTGGTTTCCACTATTAAACGAACGAATTAAAACATATATTTCTAATCCTTTGAAGTGTATATCTCATTCTCCGGTTATGGGTAAAGTGAAGGGTTTTTGCATTCTATACCAAAGGGTAAATTGCCGTTTCAGACTATGCATATCGATCATTTTGGACCTTTGGAAAAAAATCGTTTTAAACATAAGCATATATTAGTGGTAATAGACTCTTTTACGAAATTTACTAAATTATATTCGTGTCCTTCTACTGAGACTAAGTATGTAGTAAAACATTTACAGTCGTATTTTGGAAGTTATAGTAAATCTATAAACATTATGTCAGATCCCGGTACTTCTTTTACGTCACATGATTTTAGAAATTTTATGCAAGAAAATAATATTCGACATATTTTAATAGCTAGTGGTGTGCCAAGAGGTAATGGTCATGTAGAAATAATTAACAAATTAATTTTTTTTTTTGCGTTGAGGAGGGAAGAAAACTTGCATAAGACACCCAAAGTAGTGCCGGATTCCTACCGGCTAAAAAAACCCTCCTCCAACTACCACTTTACACTGGAATCCGCTCTCGCATTGCTTCAGTGCAAAGGGTGTCTAGATTTATCTTATCATGCAGTTGTGTGAATCTACAGATCATTGGGACGAAGTAATTGAGCAAGTAGAGTTTTCGATAAATAATACTGTAAATAGGTCGACAGGGTTTACATCAAGTACACTTTTATTTGGAATTAATCAGAAAGGTCAGGTTGATGATAATGTAAGAATTTATTTAGAAGAGAATCAAGATTGTGAACGCGATTTAGTAGCTATCAGAGATCAAGCGTCCGTAAATATTTGTAAATCTCAAGAAAATAATAAAACAAATTATGATAAAAAGCATAAACGTTCTCGCAAATATAAAGTTGGAGATTATGTGATGGTTTTTAGTAATGAAGTAACTCCCGGAACTAATAAGAAATGAATACCTAAATACCGAGGGCCTTATGTCATAAAAACTGTTCTAGAAAATGATAGATATGTAGTAAAAGATATTGAAGAATTTCAGTTAACTCAAATGTCTTATGAAACTGTAATAGCGTCTTCACGTATGAAACTATGGCTAGAAAATTTGTAGACTTTTGTACTTTTAGTTAATTTTAATGTCAGTTAATGAATATTTTGGTTGTACTTTTATTTATACGACATTGTATTCTATTTTAGGTTAGAATTAGGTTTTGTAAGCCATATTTAAAATTGTTTTGAGATTTGCTGTTTTGTCAACTTTAGAATTTTATGAACAAACTTAAGTAATTTTTGATCTTAAAATTTGAGATGTTATGTATGATGATATTTTATATATTTCACATTTAGTTTATTTACAGGAAATATTGTGATTGAGGGCAATCACATGTCAGGAATGGCTGAGTTGTAGTAACATAATTTGAATTATCCGCCAACCTTTAAATTGCGCGCCGATATGCCGCGTGGTTGCCTTCAAACAAGGATGATGATCATATATGTTATATCCATATTTAACCTTCAAATGACCTTATTTACTCTTTATACTTATTTATTGTTATTCATTGATTATTCCAAAGTTAAACGTATAAGTTCGTTCTAATATAACTCATAAACAATCATATTATGTTTCTTGAGAATCTTTCCAACTACGATGTTCCCATGGTCTCTTCAGTAAACAAGTCGCAGTTCCATGATGGGAAGCGAAGACTCAGCAACTTTAAGAATATTTAAGCCGATCTCTTTCCCAGGAGGAACAACTCGAACGCACAACGCACAACTCGAATAAACTCTCGAACGCAACTCGTATCCGTGTCGTATCGAAGTTCATATAATAATTTTGTATCTATAAAAATTAATAAAGTGTTTTTAAGTATTTTAATGTTTTTTTAAAAAATAATAAAAGTGAAAGATAAAATCTAACAATTGGCGCAGTCGGTAGGATATTCACAAAACGTCGGTAGAACACGAGTATTCTAACTACCAATGGTGGATTCCAATCCTTCAAGCGAAAGAACTTACGAAAAATCAAGAAAGAAAATTAAGAAAAATCAAGAAAGAAAATTAAGAAAAATCAAGAAAGAAAAATCAAGAAAGAAGACAAAAATACATCTGGCGTCCTCACTCATAGGCAGATCTACGGATTAGGAACACCTAGTGAAACCCCTGGTAGAAAACTCCTTTGAGAACAAGACAAAAGCATGGTTTTTGGAAAACTAGTGTAAGTACACAACGAATCATTACGTTTTATTTTAAAGTTTTTTTTTTGAAAAAAAGAATTACCTATTTTGAAAAAGAATTATTTAAACATTTATAAACGATAAATAAAAAATAAAATATTTTTTTTAGTTATTACTATTTACTAAAAATAAAAAATAAAAATGTCTGAATCAGAAATGAATAATGA